TCCGAAGGGGGTAGGGGAGTTATCTTCCTATTTCCTCCGTGGGGGTGGTATGGATGTTTTCTGGAATGACCCATTTATTTTATGTAAGTCTACATAGCTCATTATAAACCATTTTTTAACAATTTGTTATTAAATTTATATAGGTTAGACCCAATTGGATCAAATTATGATGATAGATACTGGTCTTCTTACCACAAGTTCTTGCCTTTGTGATTGAAGAAGAAAAGGAAGCTGCCCGCCTCAGTTGGGTAATTTGTTTCTCGTTTACATCCTTCCTCCTCATCAATAAGCTCCCCATTATATGTTACTAAGAAATCTCCTTGTTGAAATTCCTTTGTTGCGAAAACACCTCGTCCTAAAAGTTGCCATAAATTTGATGTTTTTATTGGTGTTTGGCGGCATATACGTAAATATGGAAACATGACTGTATTTGGAGAAATATTAAATACCATTAGCATATAGTTTTGTTGACAATTAGTTGCCGGAGTTAAGCAGGAAGTAATATAATTGCTCCTTTTGATAATGATTGAGTTATTTTGAACGTAAGTGGCATATAAACTGTCGTACTCTTAAATAAGTATTCAATAAGATTTATATACAGTAAATCTATAAGATTTTTAAATTAATATAACTACCCAAGACTAATTTCATCAGTGATCCTTCAGCTGCAGTACGTAGTTGATAGGATTTGAAGTCATAAACCATTGTAAATATAATAGAAAGTTGTTTTAAAAATTTGTTCAAAATTATGTACCTATGTAGTCATTGATGAATTCCACCTTAAACCCTTCTTGGTCTTCATCCTTATATTGCACCACACTGATATCCTAGTAAAAAATAAGTATCTCACTTACGACACTATTTAGGAATGCTATTATCTATTTGCCCCCTCCCTTTTCAACAGCACAAATTTATTTCCTTGTGAGAAAGTTTTGTTTATATAGGTGGTTTCTTGTGCTTCCTGATACGGACACAATCTTTGGCCCTTACAAACACTTTCATTCAGCCCCTTAAAATTATATGGTACCCCCCAAATGCAAAGGCCACTACATCAACTAGCAGGAAAAAATACAACGTTGACAGAGTGTGAATCGAGTTTTTTGAAAGAAAATTGCTCTGTTGTTGGATCTTCGTGTTATAAAGTACACAAACTCTTCCTTTTCGATCATGTTTTTCTAAAATTATTGTAAAAATGAACATTAACAAGAAAGGATCTTGTAATTTCTAGTCGAGCATCCGGACAATTTGTTTTCGCGGGAAAACTGAAAAGGCTTAAAAATGTACAAAAAGAAACTGACCCACACGTCAGATCCGATGTATTTCATGTTTGAGGGTGTCTGAGTCGTTTGCTATTGTCTTTCATAAAGAACGGTTATGTAAATCAGAGGATTACTTACACTAGGCCTGAGGCGTCTTGAGCGTGCCGTCTTCATTGATCGTCTTCACTATCCAAACTTTCTTGGTATTTAAGTTTAGCCTAAAAATATATAAAGTAAATCAGTGTTTCCAGATGTCTTCATCAATCCTGTAACGAAGTGACACCCAAAGCGAACAGACTCACTTACTTTTAAAAAAAAGTTGGACGAGCTCTCAGCTAGGCTACAAACCGGCCATAGACGATCGACAAGTGATTTCTGGCGCGATCTGCCCGCATGATGAGGTAAGTACAGATGAGGTAAGTACAGATGTGAATCTCCTGTGAAATTGCTGATTGTTTTGTGTCACACGGAATTCTCACTTCCGGCGAGCGCTGGCAAGTGTCGTTCTGAAATTTAATAAGGAAAGAGATAGGAAAACGCCGTTCGAAAGACGAAAAATTGTTTTTTTTAAAAATCTACGCTACCGACGGCTATTTTTGGAATTAATTCTTCAAGAGTAACGGTAAGCGATCACTTTTATTGATTTCTTTTTATTAAAAGTGTTAATATAACATTTTATTTAGCAAAAGTTTGTTTTTTTCCCTATCTACTTCTTATTAAAATCGTGAAATACACTTGCTGGGAATTTCAGATGCTCGTGTATAAATAACAAAACAGCGAATGATATAAATGCCTCAAAACATAACTCTGGCATAAAAAAACATGAATACTTCTATAATATGTATAGTTTTATTCCTCTGCATTATCAAAATTTAATAAAATAGTGAATTAATACAATTTTAAAGTTTATTTAATCCGTGTGACACATTTTCACAGGAGATTCACATCTGTATTACCTCATCTGTGGTTTTACGTTGCTGCTTGCCCCATATATGGCAACTAATTCCAAATTTGGTCCAGTCATTACGTTTTCTACAGAGCATTTGACCCATATAAGGCAACTTATTCCAAATTTGGATCGAGTGACCACTACGTCACATAGTGGTGCACACAAAATCATGAAGCACTAATCCTGCTTAGAAACGAGCAGGATTAAGAATATGATGATCAGTCAAACTGCATTTCCTTGTACCCTGTACTGCCATCTGCCAACGAATTCTAACCCCAAGCGAAACCAGCTGATATCCCTAATCCAGCAACTTTAACATAACCATATACACTGTCAGATTTTGATCTCTAGACCAGACGTTGATTTACGATCTGCCCATAGTAGAGAGGTTCAGATTCGACTGCCACTACCACTACTCTTACTGGAACAGCGCACATCTGATTGGTTAGTCGTACCCGATCAACCAATCAGATGCCTACTGACGCAGCGTGAGGTAGAGGCAGTTACATCTGAACCTCTCTAGTCGCCCAGTTACTGTACTAGTGAAGACGGTCGACCATTGCGTGTGCCGGAATGGTCAGTGCTTTGCTAGGGTGCAGCACCATTTAGAAAAGAATTTCGGCAACACTTAAATGCGGCTCTATAACTAATACACAACACTAAAGCCTGGTTTCCATACGGTCGTAAACCGGGCCGGTTGGGGGTTGTATAAAAGGGTAGTTAACTGTAACTGTAGTTAGTGAAAGAGTTGGCCAATCAGAATTGTTTATTTTAGAGTTACAAACTACCCAAAATGTAGTTATGCTTGTAGATGAGAGTTTTATTCAACCGGCTCCTATAATTACGGAGACTTGATAAGGGGACGTACACGTAGCACAATTAGTATTGAGATTGTGATCCAGCAATACGGTTCACAATTACGTGTCAACTTTCAGTAGCCGCTGCAGCGCGAAATCTCTTCCCTCCTCCTCTTCCCCCCCCCCCTTCTAGAAAAATTTCGGGGCCTGTTTATATGGAAGCGAGTTACTCCGCAACGGATGAATATATGACGAATATGACACTGGCTAGATGGGGGGGGGGGGCTATAAAAAATCAGTGAAATCAATTTTTTCTTTACTTTATGGATCTCCCTGATAAAAGACATGAAGTTCACTGTAAAAAATTAGCGGACATTTTTTCTGGAGAGTGGCACATCTTACGTGGCACATCTAATATTTGATAATTCTTGGGTTTCATTACTTTCATATGACGTCACAAAAGTGACGGGGGGTCAAGTCTAAAACAAAACAAAGTTATCCGAGTGAGTTGATTGTTCGTTTTATGTATTAGCGCTACTTGTGTTTGGTGGCAAATGCACGGAATTTTGTATCATTTTCTCACTCCAGAACAGCATAAGCATCAATACATTTGAGGTTGACCCTCTGGCTGCGGTGCCAGTGGGTAGGATAGATCCAAGATTTGGTGGTTGGCCGAGTCTTGGATCTAGCTTAAGCCCGTTCTCCACTAGGCGAATTTATTCGCGCGAACAGATAAAAAGTAGGAAGCGATCCTACTTTTTCGCCGCGAATTTTTTCGCCGACCAATCACGTTGCCGGATTTCGGTTTTCGCTTCGCGTCGCGCGAACAAATTCGCGTAGTGGAGAACGGGCTTTAGGCGAGATAAGTAAAACACATCTCCCGCACAAATCGCTTTACTATATACTTGTATAAATAACATACCCAATCTAGCCCTTAAAAGTTTATTATTTTATTTTAACAATTTTACTGAGAATTCTATTACATGTACACAATAAAACACAATCAACATGTCTAGAATGTATTCAGCGTTCAATAGATAGTAACTCCATTAAAAAAAAACATGTCGCTTTTCTTTCCCGGCATACATTGTATAAATAGGTCCTTAGACCTCTTCTTATTCACGTGGACGAACGCCCAACAATAGTCTCAAGAATCTACCTCCTCCCATAGTTAATATAATGAGATTATATTAACTATGCTCCTCCGCAGGCCCTTTTCCGCGAAAATTTGCGGGCAGTGATATTTAATTATAAGAAATGAACCTGCCCGAAATGCTTCCTAAGCGCCTGCGGAGGAGGTAGCTCATGAATGCTGTTTACCCCAAGCCGTTATTTGGAATTTGCTGATCTGTTTTTCAATACACCTTTCGGTAATTACGTCATGATTCTCTTAGCTTCTTAGCTCTCTGCCCTGGACCACAGTGCCTAGATTGAACTCGTTCTCCTTAATTGAGAGCATTAATTACCACAAAGCTTTCTGTTCCAGGTACGGCGTTGCATGCAGTGACTTTTCGGCGGGGGGGGGGGGGCATGCCCGCATCCCCCTGGCGCTTTCGACAATCCATACCTGCGCATTCCCACTAGCCCTATTATTATTTAAAAATTATTTGGAAACGGTAGCCCTTCAGCGGTAAATGCAAAACTGATTTTCAAGAGGTTTGAGTGCCTATTTGCACGCATCATGGGTTCAAGCTGGTTTGAGTGCCTAATTTGGCCTTTCTCACGATGACGAATACGGAATATCTGCCATTTTTGGGTGGCATCCAATTCTCGTTAACCAATGCATTGCAGACAATTAAAACAATGTGAAAAGCAATTTTTCAAAATAAACTAACCATTTACAAAGCAAATTTACCATCATTCGTCCAAAAAATTATAAAAAGTCTCTGTTACGTTACCCTGGGTGCCATACGTGGACTTGTCTCGCAGACTTGGCTGAAATGCCACGCTGTAACACGAAAACGAGGCTGCGGTTTTTAAATATGCTCCTCTGACCATAGCCCGATGGAGCATGTTATTGATGTATTGTTGCCTTCCTCGTTTCAAGTTTACCTGATATTAAATTGCATGGGACGTGCTGTTATTTTAGCTTTATAAATAATCCGTCTGTCAGAGCGAAGGAATTGTGTTATTCCCAAAATTGGATGGCGATCATGGCGTTAAATCTCCCGTTATCAACGTGGAAACAAGTGCAGTATTTACTGTAAGGTCAGTATACTACCATACATTAAAGTTGACTTGTTATTTGGTCAAATTCCCGCTTTGATGTTTTCAATATTGTACTTTAGTTTAATTAACCCTATCCTACCCTGGTTCCAGAGGTTTATTTTTATTATTTCCACCCTATCTTGATGAGTTTGGTGTTTGCTATTGATGAAAACATGTGAACATTGGTTCTCAGACGAGTCTGAAGATTTTGTTATTCAGTTATTTGTATGTATTGTTTTATACATTTTTGCTGAGTATGATGCCCGTTTGCATCTAGTTGTGGATTGTTGTTTAATTTAAATGTGCAAACTTTTTTCATCTATAAAATTTATTCATCCAAATATTGCTATGTGTGTTCTGATACACAGATATTGAGAATACATGTGCCTTTACTTAAGATTGCTAATTTTAGAGATGACAGTGTATGCAGTGGCGGAAATCTTGGGGGGACAAGGGGGGGGCCACCCCTCCACCTTCACAGAAAATTGATGAATTTTCGGAAACTTTGACTTAAAAGAGGGCAAGAACAGGCTTTTCAAGTGCAAGTGAGGGGGGAGGGTATGTTGGAAATTTGAAAGTTTTGTTGGAAATATAGGAGGCTTTGCCCCCACCGGAAAAAGTGAATTTCCGCCACTGAGTGTATGTATAGGGGTTTACCCAAGAAGGAGGGATTTATGTCAGATAATGACCCGAGGACGCTGTGGGGTCATTATCGGACATAAATCCTGACATATTTAATTCATCATTGAGGAGGTTTTCCAACAAAGTTTTGTCTGTTTCGTCTGCTTAGAACGACCATTTTGTGAGTTTTCCTTCATCTTTTCAGCTAAAAATAATCACCTATTAAAAATAATCACCTTGGTACATTAACAAAAACTGACTCAATGATGAGGGATGACGAGTTATGTGATGAAGATGGAAGTGATGAAGAGGATGGAAGTGATGAAGAGGATGGAAACGATGAAGAGGATGGAAGTGATGAAGAGGATGGAAGTGATGAAGAGGATGGAAGTGATGAAGAGGACGAAATTGCCCATGCTGTACCATTCAAGTGCATCGGTGTGTTCATGAGAAAAACTACCAACATCATTTGGAAAATTTAAGGCGTACCTCACCTTCATGAACAAGATAAAATGATGAATGTAAGAATACGGCCAGCGCCATTCATCCAAGGGACCCAAGTGCAATAGGTAATTCCAGCTTTTTTAGTTTATGTGTGCAGTGAGGGGATGGGAAATTAGGTATCATATTACTAATAATGGTGAAAAAATAAAAATGGTGGCCATGTAAACATGGAGTGATAGGTTATACCTGTAAATATTAAAATATTTAACAATTATTCGCCAAAGGCTGGGTGATTATCGGTGAATAAAAACCAAGACGAAGTCGAGGTTTTTATTCACGATAATCACCGAGCCTGAGGTGAATAATTGTTTTAGTATAATTTCATAGAATTTTTTTCTGTGTTGGTGTTGTGTACTCAGGTGAATAATATGTTTGCGATGTTACTCTGAGTGCATATCCACACCGGGCGAGCTTGAAAAATATGCCCGGCCACGGTGGGATTCGAACCTACGACCTTTGGAATACTAGCCCAATGCTCTTCCAACTGAGCTACGCGGTCAGGACGGTTCGAATCCCACCGCGGTCGTAGGTTCGAATCCCACCGTGGCCGGGCATATTTTTCAAGCTCGCCCGGTGTGGATATGCACTCAGAGTAACATCGCAAACATATTATTCACCTGAGTACA